GAATCTCAGGGCTGGCCTGGCAGGGGAGCATCTCAAAGGGCACGTTCCCAAAAGCTGCAGAAAAGGTGGAGGGGTGTGCAATCTGAGGCATGTCCCAATAAACAAATGCACTTGCACAGCATCGGCTTCCAGCGAGACACCCTGTGCGATGTCCGGGGTAAGCCAAGTCCTCTGGGGGCAGAAAGGATGGTGCAGGAAGAACGCAGCACTTCGTGGGCCCACGGCAGAGCCGAGTCCTCCTCAGAGATCCTGATGGCTTGCCAGCCAACATGAAAATGTGCAACGCCTAACCCCGGGCACATGCCAGGCAGCTTCCCGTACCCAGCTCCACTAGTCTGCCCATGCATTCTTCAACCCATGCCAGGGATCTCCTTCATCAGCCCAGCAGTGACCTCTGCAAATGCTCTGATTTGCATCCTCTCTGCCAATGCCTAATTTGCACCAGCTACTCCTGAGAGCAGACATGGGTTGGCTTTGTGGTGGGAATCACACAACAATTTCCCTAGGCACTGCCCGCTTTCCCCTTTAGCTATGTTTTGCTCCCGTGAGGATTGAAAAAGCAAAGCATTTTCCCTTCCACGGTGACCTTAGTATTTCCCTTGGCTTCACCATGTTGGCCTCTGTCACCCCAAGTATAGCAATCAGCACCCGGCCCATGCAATGGGGCTGCCCTCCTGCACCACTTCTAACTCGTGGCTCCTCCAGCCCCCCACCACGAAGCCACGGCCCTGTGCAGAAATGCTAGGCTAGACAAATGCACTGTCCACACAGCTGCAGGCACGCTGAGCTGGGAGGCAGAGAAGTGGGCAGGGCATGGGAGTCGGGGACAAGCTCCTGCCGTGGGGCTCAGGGCAGGGTTGCCACACAGTGTGGCTGCTGGGCTGCGTCTGCAGCTCACTTCACTCAGCCCACGCGTCTCAATGCTTTCCTGCTCCCTTCTCTCCTCCTGTTGTGTCGGGACGGGTAGGCATTGCTCTGCTAGGCGCGTGCACGGTGCTCCCCGCAAAAGCATCATGCCAGGTGGTGGGGGGAGCAGACCAGCTGCTGGGGGCTGCACAGATGGAGAAGCCAGCTCCTTCTGGGAGTCTTTCAGCCCTCTTCCCCTATCACAAGCCCTTCAGCCTTCTTCCTCAGCCTCCTGTGCCTGGCCTGGGCTCCTGGCTGGGGATAATGTCCGCCCTGCCCTCAGCATTCACCACCCTCCAATTCTGTTTCCTCTGCCTCTCTCGGAGGGTCCTGGCTTCGCCTAAGCCCCCAGAAGAAGAAGCCGAGGCAGGCTGCCGGTCAGGCCCTGGAGCTGTCCCGGGGGATGTGACCTCAGGAGGAATCTTCCTAATCTCCCCCCCGTCCAAACATTTAGCAAGTGGCTCCGGGGGCACCTGGCTGCAACAGGATGCATATGCTTGGGAGGAAGGAAGAGCCCCCCTCTGCAGCGAGCAAGGGAGCTTGTGTACAGTGTTAGTCCCCAGCAGGGACGGGGGGCCTTGGCCACGGAACCATGAGAACGGGGAGCGATCCAGGCACTGTCCCCTTCTTGCCCTTTCGCTTTCCACTGGGAAAGCCCAGCCCTGGCAGGCTCTTCAATCACCCTGGGCTCTGCGGCATTGGCTCCTGAGCAGCGGGCAGATGAGAGGCCATCCCTGCTCCAGGGCTCAGGCACCCTGCTGCGCTAGCAAGGCACCACCCTGCTTCCTTCAGGCTGTAGCCTGCCCTAACAGGGTTCACCGTGCCCCATCCATCCCCAGTCCTGTCCCTGGATCCCAAATCCAGCTCTGACATTGGCAGCTTATGTTTCTAAACTGCCCGTCCCACCATCTCCCATTTGCATTCTAGTGCAGTACAGCCCGCGGCTCTGTGCGCTAGGCCCAGGACGTGAAGGACGGCAGGGCCCCTGGCCTGCAGAGCTGAAAGTTTAGACAAGCTCTCATGTCACCGATTCATTTCTAGGGCTGACTCTCTTCTCCGCCCTCTTACGTTATTCATTCCTCACAATCCCTGCTCACGGTGCCGGAGAGACCCGTGGGTCACATCCTCTCAGGTCAGCCCCTGGGCCTCGTGCTGCCTGCAAAATGGGATCCCAGCATGAGCCTGCCTCAGCAGACGCGGTGAGGCTGTAAAGGATTCAGTCTGCTCAGATGCTGCAGTGACGGGGCCAGGGGAGTACATCAGAAAGGCAGGATAATCGAGGCGTATTTGTTGCAGTCTCAGCATCTTCAATGGAGTTACCCTGCTGTCCCCGAGCTCAGACTCTCTGGCTGCGCCTGCGCTTACTACACAGTCGTTTAGTAGTTGCACACCCAAGTACTACGTCACTGCGCAGTCACCGGCAGTGCTGCAAAGTAGTGTTCCCGCACGGCTCCCACGCCAACTGCCCGGCAGCTCGTTACTACTGTACAGCAGCATCCCATTGAGGTTTGTGTCATGCAACGCTGCTGCGCTGTAGCAACGAGCTACTGGGCAGGAAGTGTCATGTGTAGACGCGAGCTCTCAGTGGGACTGAGCATATCTCGGGGGTACGCCACGGTCATCTGAAGAGACCGGGGAGGATCAGGCTACCGGAGAGGAGCTCTGTCTCATGGCGCTGGCGGGAACAAGTCTATTTTCTCATGTCCCCTTTCTGTGCCCTCAGGTTTGAGCCACTAAGTTCAGTGGAAGCTCGTACAGAAATCAATGCTGCCTGAATAAGGATGTCCTGACAAACCACTTCAGCCCATTCAGTCCCAGCAGGTTCCCCTAGCAACCTGCCGGAGGAAAACTGAAGAGGTTGCGGGGGCAGCTCCCTGCGAAGACAACACAGAAGCTATTTCTTGCAAATGGAGAAAGCCGGACGCTCAGCACATCCCTGGCGTGAAAGACGTCAAGGCAGGGTGGGCACCAACCATGGGGAAGGGTGAGTGGTGAGGCCCAGCATCTGCTGCTACAGGGTGTTTTGCTGGGACACAAAGGGCCCAAGAGGGCAGGACTTTCCCCCCTGACATTGGGAGTTTCGCTCACAGTCCTACAAGATGTATATGGGCCTCATCACCCATGCCGCCTATAGGCTGAGCCTCACCGCATCCTTTGCATAGGAGTGAAGGACTTGGACCCCCATTTTACAGATGGGGAATGGGCAAACTGTGGCTCAGCTCCGTAAGCGGATTTAGGCACCTAAGTGACTTGACCCAAGCCGTACAAGAAGCCAGTGGAAGAGCAGGGAAGTCCCCCTCCTCGGCTGTGCTGAACACACCTCAACGTCCTCACCCAGCGCAGGCGCCTATCGGGAGATAGCCAAAGGCCATGCAAATATTTGGTCACCTCGAGGCACCAGGGCTTTAAAAAGCACCCGATGGTGTCTGGAGAGAGGACGTCAGCTTATTTTTAAGCCTAAGGTGATGGACACCATCCCACAAAGCAACAGAAGAGCCAGAAATGACACCACTTAACCAAATGCAAAATGAGAATGGGTGTAACGGGTCCCAGAGAGGATCCGAGGGACCCGGAGGGGGCAGCAAGCAGAGAGCCGCGGACAACACCCGCTGCTCCAAGGGGAAGGCCACGGAGCCAGTGGACACCCCCCAAGGGACATCTCAGAGCAACGTGCAATTGCTCCTGCCCTGAGCTGGGCTGAACCTAGCGCCCTCAGAGGCAAAAAGCTTTGTCGTTTTTCCAGGCTCCTGAACGGAGCAGTCCCCTGCGGCTCCCATCTGCTCCAGCGCCGGCCCTCCGCAGCACTTCCCATCTCTTGGCTGGAGTTGACAGGACCTGACAAGCTGATCTCATCTGGTTCCCACACTGGCGGGAATCTAAAACTAACATCCCCAAATGAGGTAACGGCACTTGAATCAACAAACCTGCTCCAGGCAGATGGGCTGGGGGCTGGGGAAGGAGCACGGACAAAGATTTTCCCCTCTCCACTCTCGTCCAAGTCAGAGTGAAGTAATGCTGCTCAGGGCTTCGCACGGCTGACGTGGGAAATAAAACAGGGTCCAAATGAGGGTTCACGATGCAATGCAGCAAGCTTGCCCTGAGCCAGGCCTGGCAGAGCTCCACTTTCCCATGTCAGTCACCGCTGGGGCTGGT